ATTATGACCCGAGTTGATAATGTAAATTGGCCACTGTAAAGAGTTTCAAAGCTCACATTTTGAGTGCTTACCCTTCGTCAGAGTGTCATAACTATAGCTTAGTGCTCGTCGCTCTCATGAAGGGTAATGCTGAAAAGGTCAGCTTTGACACTCTTTACAGTGGCAAATTTATGTGATCAACTCAGGACTGATGATACCAAGTAACATAATTGTTAGGTTGTGAGTTAACACATGACTTGTCAATGATTGTTTTCAGGTGTACATTAAAATTTTATAGCTCAATCCTGTACACCTCTACATCAGTGAGCACATTCTCTATACTATTTTCTATACAGTTTGTAAGGTGCTGGCAAGGAGAATTTGTTTAACAATCAAAAACTTCTTTAATTTTTGATCATTTCCTTATTCTCATGACCTTGATGTTTGATTTAGGGGTGATATTGTTAGGAAAAATCAGATGTTAGTCACTCTTAGGGATCAAATGGTTATTACAGAAAATGAGAGAGAATGAATACCTTGTCGTGATTGCAGGTTTCCAACATTTTCAAGTATCATGTGAAAATTTAAATTATTACAATAGTGGAAAATTTTTAAAGTTAAACATCTGCCTATCAGATGATTTTTGGCACATACTTCCTGTAATTAGATTTTGCATGCTTCCTTTTAATCTCACAGTTAGATTTATTTTACTGTTAGCTCGGATTAGATTTTGGTACCAATGGTGTTGGCAAGAAGGAAGTTTCTGTGCCTTGTCAGCTAACCAGTCTCCCTCCAATGAACAGAAAGGCCTCCATCTCAAGTGAGGTAAGATTTATCAACTTTCATTGGATAACTAACCACACTGCTGTTTTAATTTTGATTTCAATATATATTTAAAAAACATATTAGCTTATTTGTGTGGTGAATGTTTTAGTTCATACATTGTCCACTTAACCGGTCAAACAAAAGATATATTTTTTTTGGTGGTGCACTGAAGTTCACAAATAGTTAAAGGGGGTAAGTTGCTGAAGAAACTGTGGTGCTGTGTTGGTGGAGGTATTACAAGAGACTTTAGAACTGATTTATCAACTAAGTTGATAAATAAATGTAAATTTGCATCATTAGAGCACTAGCCCTTTGTCATTTGCTCTGATGTAGGGCTTATGCCTGAAACATCAACTCTCTGTGGTTGCCTGTTTACTTTATCAAGATCAACACAGTTGAGAAAAACCAAATTATGATGTATTTCAAGTTTGTTATCGTTAGTAACATATAGGTACTGTTTCAGCTTTCTCTGAGATCTGATTTAAACACGGATGTGGATATTGTGTGGGATTTACCAGATCTCTCATCAATTGGTATGAGGACTTTTTTGTGTTATGGTCTGTAATAGATAAATAAAATGAAAAAGATTATATTTTGTGAATTTACTGTAATTGGTGATTTTCAGCTTCATCATCCTTATGATACAATGCATTAATTTTTTTTTTTAAACTTTACCCTTTTGATCTTTCATTCATTGTTGCATGGATGTTTTTGGGAATTGGTTTCAGGCAATAAATCAGTGCCTTATGGCAGAGAAGCTCTTTCCATCGCCTTGCGTCAGTTGAGTGACCAGTATCCTGCACAGCCATTGATCAGGTACAGAATGATAAATTACTTATTAACAACTGTATCGCTAAGTGGAGGTTGGGTGCCTGAGACATTCTGGAGCTTCCACTATTGGCAGCTAGCTCCTAGATGGAGACTGCTCCCATGGCTGAAAAATCCTGGTAACTCAGCCATGAGCCCCCACACAGGAAAGGGAAGTAGGCACCCATCACTCTGAATAAACTGCCTGGATGATGAGCTGCCATTCCAAACAACAATGAAAGTTCATACTCAAAGCACACACAAAACACTCAAAATGATGAGCATATGGAATTTGGACACATGCGCGTATGCAAAAACTGATAACTACTTGAGAACACTGATGCTCTTTGCTGTTCACTCTTTTAAATTGCATTCAACTGCATCAAAAGTCAAGTTGAAAGTGTGCTTTTAAATCCCGAGTGACCAATGTGTAATATTCTCTTGCAATAATACTGCTGAAACATTCATTAAATTAAGATAGTTGGAATGGAGGAAGCTAAGAAGCTTTGATTTTTTAAATATATTTTCCTTTTAAGTACCAAAGGAAATGGTTAAAGAAGAGTAACAAAAAAGTTAAGCTTGGTATCATGTCACATATTCTGGTTAATTGTTAGGTAATGTTCTAATGTAAGTTACTAAATATCTACTTTGTTACAGAGTAACATATGACATCTTGTAATGCGTTTATGAGTAGCATCTTTATTGTCCTCTTTCTTCTTCAGGCACTGTTTGGATATTAGGGATTATCTTGCAGCTGCAGTTATTTATGAAACTGTAGGCGACTGGCCACAGGTATGTTGTACTGACAAAAAATAATAACAAACCTTGAAGAAGCCATTTCTTGATATTTTAAGTCCTTATGTCTTGTGGAAAACTGATTTACTCATTAATAAAGGGTTTAGTTTCCAAAGAAACTTTGGTACTGTATTGGTGGGGGAGTAGTTTCAAAAGAATTTCAAAGCTGATGTCGTCAGAGCAGGAGATAAAGGGCTAACGCTTGAAATGTCAGCTTTGAAACTCAGTTAATAAATTGAACCAAAATGTCTTGATTTTGTAATAGTCAAGAATGAAACTATATGTTAAAAAAAATTGGGGAAAAAAACTCCTGGTGGATAGGTAACAATTTTTGTATAGTGTACCTTCAAGTAAAGTTGAGTTTCCCTTTGTCATTAGGTCCTTGGCTACAGTTTAAGATTTCTCAATGATTGTTATATAGGTAACAATTTTTGTATAGTGTACCTTCAAGTAAAGTTGAGTTTCCCTTTGTCATTAGGTCCTTGGCTACAGTTTAAGATTTCTCAATGATTGTTACACCTCTGCATCTTGTGATGGAACGAGGGACAAACTCCTTTCTCCAGCTTTTGATATCATGCATCATGTTATCAGGTAACGATCAGTAAAATGATAAAAGCGATTTCATTGATGTAAAGTTATGCTGTTGAAAATAAATTAATCCCCACATTTTGCATTTACCCTCAGAAAATTCACAGAAGCTCAAATGAATGAAGAACAGTCAACACAACAGACTGTATGGCTGTTACAAGAGGTGCCTCATTAATCCTTTAACTCTGTAGCTGGCATCAATTTTCTTGTACAATATGGGCCCCAATTGTGGGAAGGGTGGATAATGCCAGCCACTAGATAAATGTCCATCTGTTGGATAGCGCAGTATGTTTTGATAATACTTATCCACTGGATAGTAATTTATCTGTTTTGTGGAGGAAAAGTGATGTCAGTGATGACTATCTCTGGAAGCTTTAAAGGGTTTAACACAATTAAGGTGTTAGTTATGTTTGTTGTTTGTTATGTGTCATTTATTATATATAGTATTATTAATTATTGCTATTGTTTTTTTTTAATCAACTTCCCTCTGCATTGAATCTGTTGATCATGTTTTATAGGTTTTGCAGTTTTGGACTCATAATAATCTCCCATTTGAGAGCTTGGAAGGATTTTTACTGAAGAATTTAGATATCCTTGGCTATGCTCTCAGTTTATTGTTAATCAGGTAATTTTGGTTGTTGTATCCTATAAAGGCCTACAGTTTTAGTTAAGATTTATTTTCCAAATAAATAGGCTGTAATAAATTTAAAAAACTTTCCAGTTGCAAAATAAAGTTCATATAAAATGCTGCATGGACTAATTTATAAATCTGTTTGATATTTTCTATTCATCTGTCACAATAAAATCTATAGGTGGCATGACCTAAGGTTAGATTCCAACATAAAATTCATCCAATTTTAATCTTTGTATTCTTAAAAAAAAAAAATTCAGAAAAGTAAGGCTTTGCCAATTTTTCAGCTTTAAACTTAAGGTTTCCAAAATTTACCATCTAAATAGTATAATTGTCACTTTTCAGAGATCATTTCCTTTCCACACCAAACAAGGATGCTCAAGGATCAGGTTCTGCAGAAATCAATGATACAAGCAAAACATTGCCACAAAATTTTACTGTTGAATTTTTCAACAAAGTTGTTACTCATGTGGTTCATCAGCTACAAGAGGATGATTTGGGTGAGGAGTATGCTTCAGATTTGAAATCTATTCTTGCAAGGTACAGCAGTACAGAGGATTCTCCAACCTCAAAAGATGAAACATTTGCCCAGCCATTTGCACAGCTAGATGCAGGCATTCGACTGAAAGATTTCCATGCAGCACAGAAACATCTCTGGCAAGAGATCTTAGACAATATCAAAAAAGATCTGGACAAACACCCATATATTGCCTTATCCATGACTGCTGCAGCTACCATAGCATCTGCAGCAGTTTCTCAACAAAGAGGGTGGAGGGGAGAGGGGGAATTGATAACTGAGCCACAACTGCAGGCTGATGTTGTTTTGTTTACATGTAACCATCATTTTCCAAGAGTGTATTTCCAGGAGTTTATTTTGCCAGAATTTCAGCAACGAATGTCAGAATTAGTGATGCCTTTGAAGCATACCACAAAACTACTGTTGAAGTATTACTCCAGGCAAGACGGTTTCTTGCCAACAGCCTGTCCTATCTGTGTGTATAACTCCATCAGAATAGAACAGATGGAAATTGCAGCAGCACAAAGTGGAAATATTGAGAACATGCCTACCAGGCCATGGGATATTTGATATCAAGACAAGATTTATGTTTTGTTTGTTACTCTTCACTGTCTAAGAATTTCAAAATTGACTTGTCAAGTGTACCCCATAAAAATTTTCCATTAACTTATTATTTGGTTGCATTAGAGGTAGGCCTGCTTACCAGCTGCTGTTTGGGAATATGGGCCCATGCATCTCCCTTTCCCTCCACCCCAGTCTTTTCTCGGGGAGGAGCAAAGACCAGACACAAGAGAGTGGCAGAAATCAAGCCTACATTATAGGATGACTCCAGAGAAAAAATGTTTTACTGGTGCAGTATCCATCTTAATTCTCTTTATTAAAATAACAAAATTATTATTGGGGCAACTTTTTTCCTCAAAATATTTTTTTAGCATTTGTTACCATAAGAAATCAGCAATTATATTTGAAAGTTAAAATTTACAGTTCAAGTCTATTAATTAAAAGGTGACATTATTGAAAGAATTTTCTGTAGTATCACACAAGTTTTTTTTTGTGGAAATAAGACAAGAAAGGATTGTTATTAGAATAACTTTGCATCTTACATAGATTTAAACTAAAAGAGGCCATCCATGAACATTGTAAGTTGTATCTTGGTTTATGAAATAAGTACACATCCAGTGAAAAGCGTCATTTTACAGAGGCCACAAAGCAATAATGTAAAATAAACCATAAGATATGCAGAGAAAAGACACTAAATTTACGTTAACTTATTAAAAGATTACTAATTGCAATTACACACAATGTTTGTACATATGATTTTTTCTTGATGTAGCTTTTCATGTTAGTTAAAGGGAGAAAAGAATATTAACAAGTATAAAATCCTCCATCATGTTTTCTAGAGTACCCGCCATTTGTTGCTGCACTGTGGTGACTCTCTAAAGAAGGCAACAAAGAATTTGAATTATGTTGCTATACTTTATCACTTCAGGTCTGCCACATTTAGTAGAGAAACATGGAGTTTTTGGATGGTGATATGATAGGACAGAACTTGGGGTTTCAGCTTGTGATATTCACAACCATTTATTTAAAGCAAAAACAAATTATGCTCCAAAATTTTTAAGATCTAAATTCTCTTGTCCAAAAAACCACAAACCTACTGAAAAACAGTCATGAAACTGATTCTTTGATTGACAAATTGTAGAATAGATACTATATTAGTAACCACAAGTTTAAAAGAGCTCCTGAATATTTGGTTTATCAAACCAAACAGGGACAGATATATTGACACAGGTTGTAGATGACACTTGGGGAAAAATTTCAGCTAAATTTTTCTACACACAAAAACTGTGATGTACTGAAGCTCCTCCAATTCTTATGAAAAAGTTTTTAAAAGACAATTTCCCAGACTCACCAATAGCACCATTTATACTGTGTATGCTCTGCCGCTGTACGCTGGTGCTTTTCATCAGTGGAAGCTTATAGAGGTCAATTTCTGGTGCTTCTGGAGGAGGTCTATTCTTAAGGACACGCCTATGCCAATATGATGTAAAAACATCTTAGTGTAAAATTCAACAGATGTTACAGGCTAATGTTACAGCTATTTTGCCCACTACAGTTCAAGAAACAGGACTGCCCTTGTGTCCACAAACATCTAATTCTCTTAAGATATATTTCTGATTTTTCCCTTTTTTATGATTTTCTGAAAAATTATGAAGTTGCTATTTACCAAATGACTAAGTAATGAAAATAACAAAATTTATATCTGTATTTCTGATAGTTCAAACATTAACTGCAAAAAATGTCCTTGACTTTCAAGTGAAAATCCTTTAAAGTAATTTTAAATATGTGTGGAAATATTGAGTCCAACAGGACAACATTGGCACGCGAAAGAATCAGGCCATGTGACGCAGCTCTTACATGGTGTTTCTCCCTTGAACACCTAAGATCTGAATGTCAATTCTCCACTGTAGTTGCTGCACATTTCCTTGTAAATTAATTATGAGAATTTGGTGTTGGATCAAAATAATAACTTTTACCTGATAAGTTTGTGTACTCTCAATGTAATGAGTGCATATTACAGGAGAGAAGTTACTTGTTATTCAACAAAACAAAAATGCCTTACCCATGTGGTAAATTAGCTGTTTCTGGTTGTACCAAAGTCTCAGCTTTGGAATGAAGGAACTCTTGGTGATGGTCATATGTTGATTTGATGACAAAATCCAAGCTGTCATTTGGTGCCTGCAACGAAAGGCAAATGAGATCAAAAGCTTTAGAGCTGAGATTTAGCAGTAGTCATGATAGCAAGTTTCTCTAGTGAATGTTAGAGGAGCAGAAACATTCCTCTTAGTCTCTTGGTAGCTAGATGCATTTTTGAGTACATAAAAAAGTGTCTAAATGCCTGGTAACCACATTTCTAAACAAACATTCGATACACCTCAGAAGTTTGAAAGAACCTCTAAGTGGAAATCCTTTGTAAATCTATGACTCAGCCAGCATTTAGACACAGCCGATTGCTTAAGGACAGGGCTGTTACTCAGCAAAAAAATAATTGTCTAAACACGAAGTTTACTGGTATCTAGGACTCGACAAGGGCACTTTATGCTTCTTGAGGGAAGTAATCAAGCTTTCAATTCAGAGGTAATTCACTTCATTAAGTTTCCTTTTTTGATATATGACAGAAAAGAGAACTTGATGATGTAAATTACATATAAATGGCTTGCGAATGTTTATTAATGAGGCTTAAATTACCTTATGAAGTAAGATATTTATGCAAAACTGTTAGTGTAAAAATAAACAAAAGTTGCACCTGTGGATCATAATGAAAGACTTCTCTCCTGGAACTCGCCAGTGTTGCTGTTTTGTTGAGTCTGTCCCACGGTGTTCCTTCTTGGCCTTCCTGCATCAACGTTCCCTTCTCTTTAACCTTAAAGACCAAATAAAAAAATAGTGGTTGAAAATCTGAATATTGGCCTCTTGTCCTATTTAAAGGTTCTTTTTCTTTCATGAATATCGTGAACTTATTTTTTTTAATCTCATTTTTTTAAAGTAAGACTTAGATTTATCTTAAGCTTGGATATCTATATACGCTGTAAACACATATTGTTTGTCATTGCTGTTTACGAAGAACTTGAAGTTATACTTTTAAAGATGAAATCGGTGTCTGTGGAAGCTGAAAATCGCTTGGCCGGTCAATTAAAACTTCGAATAGTCGCCATGCGAATTCACAGCTTTGTTCGCTGGATATTTTCAAAGGCTATTATCCTTTTATAATACATTCCGTGAGTTTTTGGATAAAAATGAAGAAGGAACATTCCTACAGTATCTGTCCCTTTTCTTTTGTTCACTGTTGGCGAGGCGATTTCACATACTTAGTTGATCCTAGTAACAGCAACATTAATGTAAACATTTGGGAACTTTTACAGACAGGAATCTCTCGAGATTAGACTACCGTGATTTGAAAATTTGTGCAAAGTTTACCTGTTTTCCTTGCTGTCCACAAAAATCGCTGTCATTCTGAAGTCTTGGGAAAGGGTAAGGATCGCGTGGCATCTTAACTTCACAAATAGATCGGAAAAATTAAGCGACCGAGGTAGTGCGTGCTTTTGGAAGCTGATTGTTTGAGAAATATTTCTTATTCAGGCGCTTCGTGTTTCCATAGAAACAAATAATTGCAGGAGTACTGGGCTCGAAAATGAATCCCATGAATATACCCGGGCAGTTCGCTCAATGCTTGCACTTCCCGCGTTGCTTTGCAAGTGTAGTGTAATATGGCGGTCGAGAACACGTGTTGGATACATGGTACAGAATAACCTCATGCTTAATCCACGTAGTGGTTGAATGGAGTGGAAATTTTCTTTAGAAACATTGAGTTAAGATGGGAATCCAGGGATTACAGGAGTATGTGGAAGCAAACTGCCCCACAGCTTGCCAGCAGGTCGATCTGAAAGCTGTTCTTTATGGGAAAAAAGTGAACAACACGGACAAGGCTCCGGTTCTGCTCGTCGACGCAAGGAGCTGTTTAAAACATCTTTATGGGCCCACTATAGATTGGGTTTGTGGAGGACAGTGGAATGAAATGTTGCGAAATGTAGAAAACTTCACAAGATCATTTCGCCAACAGAATATCGAAATTGTAATTTACTTTGACGGCGAAGGCGAATCATCAAAGTTACATCAATGGATCAAAAATCAAAACGAAAAAAGACAGTTAACAAGGCAAATCCTTAATCATGTCATGAAATTTAGTTGTTATCCTGGAAAAAGACTATATTTTCCGCCACCCGTTGTGGACACGTGCCTTCGACTTGCATTCCTCAGCTGTGGTGTCTCAGTGTGTACGTCTATGGACGATCTCCACAAAGAGATGGCGACTTATTGCCAAGGGGAGGATTTCGCGGGTGTGATCGGCCATCATGCAGATTTTCTTCTCTTTGACGTTCCGAATTATTTTTCCGCCGATCACATAAAATTTTCCAAGAAAGACATTACTACGATGCGATTCAACCGGGAAGCAGTCCTGAACGAACTGAAACTGCACCACGATCGTCTAGGATTGTTCGCTAGTTTGCTAGGTACGCCTTTTATTCCAGAAGACAACCTTGGTTCATTCTACTGGAATCTTTTAGGTCCGGATCATCCCTTAGCAAAAGTACAGGTTAGTTTTTTTTTTAATTTTTAATTTCATGAATGATTTATTGAATGTAATTAATTGGTAGAGGCTTAGCAAAATATTCAAAATATAAACTTTTGTAGTTATTTTTCAATTTCTCTTATTCTTGCGGAGGAAGCTCAAGTTGACCCTTTTTCTGACAAATCAGTCAATTTCATATTTCATGTGTTATCTATTGTAATTATTTGGTTTAAAATGAAATACTCTTGCAGCCAAGAATCATTTCGTTGAACTCTCAAGAGTGTCTATCACACAGTTTCTTCCACATTACCCATTTTAAATCCAATGAAAAGGATATGAGAAGCATGAAAACAATCACTAAATGGCAAAATCTTTGACCTTAAAAAATCAAATATCATGAAAATATTATTTGGAACAGTAGAGGGCATTTGTTTGGATATTTAGTAATCATGATTTAGGGTTATCAAATTTTTTTGTCACAATGAAGTCCTTGCCTGGTCATCAGCATGTTTATCAGACAATGAGTTATAACCATACAAAATTCTGACTAGGAATTGCTCATAACTGCCAGAATGGGTAATTATAAATCTGATGTTAAGAGTTCATGAAACAAAACCAATATCAACCATTTAGCCCCTAAGAGTGACTGATGTCAAACAAATTCTCGTTGTTGTTACCATAGGAAATATAAAAAGAACAGTGTGGAGAATATGGATACCAATGTTAGGGTGTAGAGGGTGAAGGGAATAATGATACTCATCATTTATTGATTACTGTTTATCAGTGATCACACATCAAATGTTTGATTAGATATTTCTAGAGCATTATTTTTGTCTTGATAACCAACTTTTGTTTAATACAAATCTGTCACAATTTTCAGGTGAAGGAAAAGCATCAGCCCATCTTCCCAGCAAATGACATCATTATCTCAAGTGTTATTAATTTTGTAAGGAATCTAGCAGATGTGTCAAACCTGCCATGGATTGCGCGTCAAGTCTTCCGATCAGAGAACGTTGACCTGGCAGAAATCGCTGAAAAACTCAAGAAAGCTGTAGAACATTATTCAAGCTCCCAAAGTGTTGAAACTGTGGTGCAGTCTTCTGATATCGGCCCAGGTAATAACAGTGATGGTGAAATGTTTACAGGATGCATTTCACATTTAATCCAAGTATTTTTCTAAGCTCACAATGTTCTTCTCTTCAGTTTTGAGGGAATTTTAGTTTACATTTGGTCTCATAATTGACCACTGGCCATGTAATTAAGACACAGGGTTGTATTAAAAAAATATTGTTGATTCTCAGTTTTTTTTTTTGAAACCTGATTAAAAATAAAATACTTTCAGTTTGTATTGAGATGCATGATACAATTCAGAAGGGTCATGGTTTTAAGTTTTTTTTCTTAAGGTGCTCAGACTAGTCTAACCTTTAAAATCTCATGAGTGACTAAGACAGAATTTCTCCTGACAATATCAATACAATATCAAGCACACAAGTGATGAGAATATGAGAAAATTTCAGTTAAAGGATAGTTGATCTAATACCAAATTCTCAGCTCTAAAAACATAAGAATGGCATGCCAGACTACAATGATTATTACTAACGAGATCTTGGGAGTGAAAGGGTTACTTTATATTTAACCTTTTTTTTTTTTTTGTTCTTTTTCGTACAGGCCGAAAACAAAATGAACATCAGTATCAAAAGATGTGGCAACACTGGCAACAGCACCAATTTGTTCCAAAACCTGTTACTCCACCACAAAAAAACACAGCAGTTGTTGTAAGTTGAGTTCTAGTGCTTCTTTGATGTAGTTCTAATGTCGATCTTCACATGAGTTGAACTAAGCTGAGAGAATTAAGTTCATGGTAGATTTGAATCAATAGAGTTCATCCTGCTGAATTTGGATCAACTAAAACATTCTGTCCATCTGTTTCAGATTAAATGTGGAACAAATGTCAAACTTTTCATGAATTGAACTTTACGAACAAAGTACAAATTGCTTTTTTTGAAATCCTGCTATTCGAAAGATTTGTTGGTTTGGTTTGAGGAGTGTGTTCTGTGTTAGAACATTACAAGTTAGGGTGGACAAAACTTGCTATTTAGTCTGTCTCAGGTGAAGTTCAACATTTGAACTGGGTCTTTTAGGATAGGTTTATAAAGTATAGGCTGGATTTTAAAGACTAAGATCTGACAGAATTTCTGGAGTAAACTTCTTGGAAAGTCAATCATTTTACACTGCTTACTTTTGTTTGTTGTTTTTGTAGCTACCACAAAGTAATGACAGCACAAAGCAAATTCCAAATATCACAGATCTACAGCAGAGTTTATCTGCACTTCAAGTTCAAGACTCCCCAGAAGCATCTGTCATGCATTCATTGCCATTATCGCCCCCAGGGGACCCCCAAGACTTGCAAGGTACTATACCACCTCTTTCACCTCATCAAGAAGGCTCCTTACTCACCCATCCCCCAGTATCGCCATCATCAGTGCTCCCCACCCCACCATCCTCATCAGAAACATCACCAATGGTGTGCAAAACTGGTAAAGGAGCTGCTGATCATTCATCCTCTGCTGAAAACATGAAAGAAAAAGAAAAAGGTAAGTTTACAGTTGTCTGTGAAGCAACAAAGTGGCTCATCACAATTTTTTGATGAAATAAATTTTATTTGTCTTGTTTTTGTTGGGATGGTGTTATGAGTGATTACGATTTTACAACTTTGTGTCATCAGATGTAGCACTCACCTTCATTTTATTATGGATGTTGGCTTGTGATTATTTCTTGTCATATCGTACCCAGGGCTCCAAGTTCCCTTTGCAAAAAAGTCACCTTTTGGCAACTTTTAGCTGTAAAATGATCACCATAGAAAAAATTTGGTTGCCAAATAAAAAAAGTCATTGGAGGACACTTCATGCTGCATTACTGGCAGTCATATGGTTGTTAATTCAACCAAACATTGATGGATTTTTTAAATTTTTTTTTTTTCAAATCTGTTGGCAACTTTCACCAAAATTTCAGTGACCAAATCTATTTTTCACATGCCATGGTAACCAAAACAATCGCAACTTGGAGCATTGCTGCAAGTATCTTGATCAACCTTGAACTAAACCTATGGGGATCAATTTGTCCTTATGATTCATTTATAATCAGTCATTTACGACTATCAACTGAAGTTGGGATGAGTAATGTTCGATATTTAGCAAAATTTTAATCACCAAGGTTGGTGATTGACTCCACTGATTTCACAGACACTTGGTGATGGTCTTAGCTTGTTATTTTCATGTTTTTTTCATATAAGAGCCCACAGTTAAAGGAGCTGTCCCAGGTATGTCGCAACGTGTACTAGATGTCACGTTACAGCTTCTTCAAAATGGGAGAATGGTAGAAACAGTGTACCATGTTCTTACAAAAGCAGAAATCACAGTTGACACAACTATTGAAGAGGAGCAGTTGCCAGAAAGAATCCCCTCAGCTCTGCTTTTCCGTAAAGTGCGTCAGAGGGTTTATGGAATCCTTTTTGACTTAGCCTCCAAGAAGAAGGATGGTGGAGTTGATATGAGCTCCTTAGCAGTCAAGGAATGGTGTGTCTATGGTTACAGGAGGTTAGATGATCCTGATATCGTGGAGCCACTAGCACTTGACTGGGATGTGCCACCTGTTGAAAGACTCTGGTTCAGCAAGGGAGCAGCTGCAGACAACAACAGGCTCAAGGCTTTCTTGTCATGTTTGATGAGTGACACGCCTAGTATGACCCAGACTGTAATTGTACCCAAGAGATTAGTGATCCTTTGCTGTGTTTTAAGGTAATTTCACGTGCCTTTTGATCATTTTAAAGTACTTTAATCCCTTAGAGTGATAAGCAGCTAATATCTTCCGACATTCCATCCCCCTGACTCAAACATCAAGGTCATGAGAATAAAGAAAATGATCAGGAACTCAAGGTGTTCTTGGTTGTTAAAAAAATTATCTATGTCATTAACATAGGAAATTAACACTTGATCGGTTCTAGATTACGCGCCACTATTTCTCTTCGCCGGCAAGAACCGTTACGGACATACAAACGTGTGATATCGACAAAGGTCAATTTGTCATAACATATTAATGAGATTGAGTGTAATCTTCTGGTGCAAAATGTTATGCCTCGTTAGTCCGCAAAAAGTGAAAAATCGACTTCGAGTTATCGAGGGTAAAATTACAAAGAAAAGTACCTAAAGGGAAGAAAAAATCGCTTCGAGTTAGCGGGATTTCGAGTTAGCGGGGTTTCGAGTTAGCGGTATTTCGAGCTAGCGGGCTTTCGAGTCAACGGAATTTCGAGTCAGCGGGGTTTTGAGTTAGAGGGATTTCGAGTCAGCGGGCTTTCGAGTCAGCGGGATTTCGAGTCAGCGGGCTTTCGAGTCAGCGGAATTTCGAGTTAGCGGGGTTTTGAGTTAGCGGGATTTCGAGTTAGCGGGGTTTCGAGTCAGCGGGCTTTCGATTTAGCGGAATTTCGAGCCAGCGGGGTTTCGAGTCAGCGAGGGTTAGAGTTAGCGGGCTTTCGAGTTAGCTGGCTTTCGAGTCGGCGGGATTTCGAATTAGCGGAATTTCGAGCTAGCGGGGTTTCGAGTCAGCGGGATTTCGAGTTAGCGGGGTTTTGAGTTATAGGGGTTAAAATTACAGTAAATATATGAAGCAAATCCAAGGGAAATCAGTTTTGCTTCGAGTTAGTGGGGAATTCGAGTTACCGAGGGGTTCAACTGCATTTTTCTTCAAGTGATATTCTATACTGATGTTTACGTGTGTCCTCTTTTCGTGTACCAGGTATCTCATGTCACATGGCCGTTTGGTGTTGTCAGCACGGGAGCTTGATGCTTTCCTCGCCCAATCTCTGTCTCCTCATTTAACAACAGAGTGCAATGCTTCGAACTTAAGAGAAATCAAGCTCCAGCGCGTAGATGCACGTGCAGTGCAGCTTGCCTCCATTTTTATGCGCGGTGTTCAAGCTGCCATTTTCGCCAATGATGCTTGTGCTGTGCCTATCCCATGGGAACTTGTTTGTCCATGGAATTACTTTGATGGAAAACTTTTCCACAGCAAATATCTAATGGTGACAGAAAATGCCTCACTTCTTGAGCTGTGTGATGGAAAGGTAAAACAAAATGGCAACTATTTTAGCTTAAGATAGAAATGGTTTGGTTTTGATGCTGAATAGTCTAGTCCAGATTTTCTCTCCAATTGAAGTTATTGAAACAAAAGTGTGCGTATCTTTTAAATGGAGATATTTATGTTTCCTTCTCTTTAGTATTGCGAAAGTTTATGCATACGTGGGAGATGCATTGGCCATATGTCTTCTCAAAGATGGCGCCTCAAAAAGAAGTCCGTATTAAGGACATTTCGTTCCCAGTCGTTCGCAACGCTTTGAATGCAGGGCTTTTAAGCTTTCAGTGTTTAATGTGGTGGACACACGAAACAGTAATTCTCGATGAACAAGTGATCAAAACAACGTTTCGTTTTCTTTTATTTTACTCGAGGTTGTGTCACTAATACTCTGCTTAGTTGGGCTTACATTTAGGTCTTTTCAATTGCACGATATCGTTGCATATTGATCGACTTAAGGTGGATATTCTCAGAAGTGCTCGTTTTGCTTTACAGAGCGATTTCCGGTCACAATTGAAGCCGGCGATCGCCGTTTTTTCATCCGGCCACTTGTCTCTGGACCTAACTTGCTTAGCTCAGAAATCCCAGAAAAAAAAATTGTCTGGAACAAATGAACCATCGTTATTTTCTTTTCAGAGTGGACGAGTAGAAAAGCTTCAGAGAATGAGATGGTGCATCACGGAAGGTTTACCTCAAGACTTTAGTCTCAACCCTGGTCTGCCATCTGCTGGATTGTTACCACATTTTCCAGGTCATCGCGGTGATGGCTTGCTCCCCACACCAGTGCCTTTTGCTTTTGGCCCCGTACCGCCTGCACTTCAAAGTGTCCCGGTGCCAAACTTCTTTCCAGCTGGAGCCAATATCCCACATCACATGCAAGCGATGGGCACAAACTTGAGGCGTGGACGTGGCCCTAACAGTAGGCAGCCCGTATCTGGATTGGGAGGCCAGCTAGAAGTGGCCGGTGTTCCTATTGCTCGCTGGTCAGGTAACAAAGCAGGGCGTGGCTACAATGACAAGGATCGGATCGTGGTTGGAGGTCCATCCAGTGTGGAGATGGGCAAACTTGGCAGACGTGGGCGTGGCAGTCTTTGGAGTGCCCGTGGTAAACGCGGCGGAGGTGCTGGTACCCGAAATGTGACTTGGGCGGCGGAAGTTGATAAAGAATACGACAGAAGCATTGGATATGTGGAACAACCAACAAAACCGAAGAAGGCGACAAATATTAGTCAGGTTCGAGAGGGAGGGGATGGTGGAAACGACATTCCCATCATGAATCGTGGACGTGGTGACGGCGGAAATGACTTAGAGGCGCTCAGTGCGGATGGATTAGCGACAGGACTTCCCATGCACGGAGCATTGCATCCACATAATCTTCCTGGACAGATACCTGGCATGCCTCAGTCCCCACAGATGCAGTTTAACGGGCAACCATACAGTTCACACTCACCAGAGATGACAGGTCTACCAGTAGGACCAGGTCTCGACAAAGCACCAGGTGGTCAGGTTCCCCCAATTATCCTGGCCAAACCTGGCGACATCCCTGCAAGCTTAGGGAGGGGAAGAGGAGTGAGCGCAGGAATGGCTGGAGAAATGCCTCCATTTAATGCGCAATCAGAAATTGTTGAATCTGGTGGAAAAGGAAGAGGTTGGTGGTGGGACAAGCAGCAACAACAACAGCAGCAGCCGCAGCAGCAGCAGCAGCCACCCCCTTGAATTAACAATCATCACACAGTTCGCCAATCTCATATCATGCTCGACTGAGACAAAACCCTCTTTAGTGACGATGTTTTCCTGCCAGTCTACTGCCTGTATTGGTTGTAAGAAGAAAGGCTTTGAAGTTATGATAACTCGTATCTCTCTAATGCTGCATTTATTCTAAGGTGAAATCAGGGGTTTTTACAGGTGCAGGTTACTGGGGGTTTACTTCCACCTCTTCGACCTCCTACCGCTGTCTGTTTAGCCTGGAAGAAGGCTCTCGTGTTTGGGTTTCGCCTTAACCCTTTAACTCCCATGAGTGACTAAGACAAAATTTCTCCGTACAATATCAATACAATTTCAACCAGATAAGTAGTGAGAGTAAAGAAAATTATCGATTTGGGGATAATTAGTTGGTCCAATACTTAATTCTATGATCTAACATTGTATGGTTGGCGGTATGGAGAATTACAAATTTGATCTGGGAGTTAAGAGGTTAAGGCCCCCTTTACAGGGCACAGCTGCCCATCACACCATTGGCAGGTGGAGAAAAGCATTGAAACCCCTTTAAAATACGAATTGGATGAAAATTCCATGAAATATGCAATACTTATTAACAGCAGGCATTTTCTCATCGCTCCACGCTTTGTTTACGTTTTTTCCAAGTTGAATTTTTACACAGTTTTCCTTTCCATGATCAGAGAAGAGAATATTAAACATTTAATTGATATTCTGTAGATTTATCTTGTCATCGGTAAGCATTTCAATGTTTATAATTATTTTGGTCTGACAATCTTTTTCGCATCAAGAATGATGGAAAACGGTAAGTGGTTGGTGCGGAAAAGAACGACAATCGGCCAGCCGACCCTCATGTCAAACGTAGGCAAGTTTTGAAACGATTTGTTGTGGTTCTTATGGTTTCCCTTTAATGAGAATTTGTAGATGAAATAGAAATTTTTCCTTCTAAGTAGGTTTAAAAAGCACGTTTCATTTTTGCGACAAATGAAAAAGATGCCTCTTAGTTTGTTAAATGCAACTAAAACTGGTTAGAATGTGGAAACCAGGGAAGGGGTGGGCGGGTCGGTTTGTCAAGGGAATTGCAGAAACTGCATAAAAAGAGAAAGAAAAGCCGCAAGTTTATATTCAATTGTTAAAGAAATTTATGTGCTACCAACTTCGCAAGGGTTTTGATGTTAACTTAACAACTGGATTAAAATTAAATTTTTTTATCAAGTTTCCTCATTGAATAGTATTGAAAATACATGCAGAATTTCCCATGCCTTGCAGTCCTATTCCAATGCTTTTTTCCGGTTCTCCGGTCAGCCACTTTCTTTTTTATCTACTTTTTTCGTTGTTCCCTTTACCATCTGGTCGTCATGCATCGGGAAATCAAGAGTCGTGACAGTTTCCAAGTCTTAGAGTGTCTCAAGACAATTCCCTCCAGTCCTAACTCAGCCCGGACCCCCTCGCCGACTTTTCTTAACGAGCGAAAGTGTCACTCGGAAATTTGATCTTCCAGTCGCCAACGCATTTCTGAACATTGCTTGGTGTGTGATCTCATCTCACATATTGGCCATGCAAGGGAAAAAACCTTCCCCATTATTAAAAACTAGCTGAAAACCCGGAACATGTAAACCACGGTGGGATTTTGTCGAGTTATGATTGGTGATTCTGAAGCAGATACAATTTGGACCCATTCTCTCTCTTCTTTTTTCATGGTGACAGATTTTTAATCAACACGCGGTTTTTAGTGTTAATCTTCGTGTGAAAGACTCGTCGCAAGATATCAGCCCGGTCTTAGGGTTAAATTTCTCTTTACAGTGCCATCGAAACTTTAGGAGTGTCTACCAGGGTGATTCCCTTTCCTTATTCGAAAAAATTAATATTTGTAATGAAAAATCAGCCTGGTATTCCCTGAAATGCGATTTATTGCGGCACCTCCGTAGGCAGAAAAGCGAAAAAAAAAACAAACAAACAAGAAAACGTTAGAATAAAAAGACTAATGAAGAAAATGAGATCGAGATTTTAACAGATTTGAAATTCAAGCAATAAAGATGTCAGGGAGATAAACAGGATGGAAAGGTGTTTGAGGCATCATATTTCCGTATTATTTTATCTTGACACATTACATTGGGCCTGTTAACTTGTAAGGGCTTTCAGAGAAGCCGGCCCCTGATGACTATGGAAAAGGTTTGCCTGCACTCTTAGCCATGCATATAGGACCACGCAGCATGTTACTACCAAGAATTGACCCCCAACGTCCCTGTTACCTTTAAATAAAAACAATTCATGTGATCAATCCTTTGTTAATTTTCTTTTTTGAGCTATCGCTGGATTTCTTTTTAATATGCAAAATTTGCCGCTGCGATCTGTCTTCACCAACATGTCACCTCGGCCGGATACGATGTTCATACATAGAGAATTATTTACCTAATAAGTTGCATGATAAACGAACGCAAATTTTTGGACAACTTCAAAGGGTAAGATTGTAATACAAACAAAACTTTTATGCATGTTCTTTAGAGGTTATATCTAACACCGCTAACATTACAGGTATTAAAAACAATTCCATTCGCTTTTAATCTTTCTACTGACAAGTTTGCTCTTTCGTCTTGGTTACGCCAGTATTGCTATCACAGTACTCTGTATTCAAATGACGTACATAACAACTAATCTCTCAAGTTGTAAATGACTTCCGGAAGTTAAATGTCATTTTTAACAACATAAATCCGCGAGATTTCATCTCCGTCTGTGGCTATCAAAAACTGCCGCACCTCTGATTAACAATCAAAGGTTTCGGCAGACTACCACATGCCACTTCATGTCCTTTTTTATTATTATTATTACAGTACTTGAGATAGCTCGCGATTCTACATAAATTTTTCGCTAACATCTTTTTTCGATGCGAGTTTCTGAAAAATGAAAAAAATGTATTAATTCATAACGTTTCAAAGTTCATCCTTTCTGATTCTGTCGATTTTCAGTGGTGCGTTCATCTCTTTTCAAACATTCTTCGTAGCATCTTTTCTATAACCAACCTAAATCGCCAACTTCTCCAGTAATAGACATATGGGTTTAAAGAGCTATTACAAAACGCCATGGTGTTGACCCAAGGAAAGGCGCGTTTGGCGTGCTTGAGAACAGCAGGCGATGCGCCTACGCTGAAGAAAAACGGAAGAACGATAAGCGGTGTAATACACACGTAAAAAGCGCCAACGACCACGGCTATCATGTAGAGAATCTTTCGCTCTTTTGCGAAGCTTTTTTGAGAATTTGAAAGTTTTTGCGCTGGTATTTGTTTTCTAATTCGTTGCCCTTGAAGTCGCACAATGTAAAATATTCCGGTGTATAGAACAGGCATGATTAGCAAGATAGCAATTACAAAGTACTGTGCTATGTGACGTGCTTTTCTCAAAATCGAGGCCGGTGCACCAAAGCTTATGGCAACGAGCCATGTAAAAACAATTGACTTCCAGATAGTGTGATCTGTGATGAAGAACCTATGTCGGTGAAGGAAGAACAGCGAGAGAAAACGCTCGATTGAAATCGAAAATAAATGGCTGACGGAGACCAACGTTGAAATCCAGGTCACTGCTGTTCTAATCATGTTTAGCTGGGTGGGTAACAGGCCATAGAGGAACAAAACATACATCGGCTGAGCAAACACGCAAACCAATAGATCTGCCACGGCTAAACTGGCGATGAACAGCTCTGCTTTCGGCCTTCCTAGAAAGCGAAATTTCTTCACTACAAAACAAACCAAAAGATTGCCCACGGTACCAATAATGCTTGCCACCGCGTTAACACCTGCAAGACCTTTCACTTCTGAGGTATCGAGGCCCAACGGTGGCCGGTTTTCCAGGCGATTCGAGGAAACAGAACTGGAGTTACTAAAAACTGTGCAGCCCGTGTTATTAAAAGACATTTCTGTGGCTTAGATTTGCTTGGAACTTGTTTCAAATTTTTCATATACGCAGTTCTAATCCTCTCGCTCTCTTCGAGATCTGAGCTTATATCTGAAAAATGTCTTTTATAATGTCGATTTCCTTAGTCGGCTTGGAACGTTATCTTACTCAACAGACGCTTTTGATGTCATCAAACTCTAAATGGCTGTTTTAAAAAATAGATTTATTGTTTGCTTTATTCGTGAAAATCAAGCTATCTTTTTTAACCCTCAAAAGACAGCAGTTCATATCATGAAGTAATCGACATCCGCCTCGTGCGATTTGCGCAGCCAATGAAATTGCTTGACTGAGTTTCCTTTGTTATTCAAATGCGGGAGAGAAATATCAAGTTTTTATAACTTTGAAGTTAAAAGGCTCTATCACATCCGAGTTTTATCGACGTTGTTGCCAAAACATTTTTTTTTTCGCGTTGAACTGTTATTGCAAATCGCTCCAGTTGTCAAGTACTCCTGTACTATCGAAAGTCTAATTTAGTTCCGAGGGCACCAAGTCTCCTAACTTAGATAGGAAGATAATCTCATTAAACTGTCATTTAACTTCAATATGCAAAACTAAATTGCGTTGGGAAATTTGGTTTCAACAGAGAAAAAGTCTCACGTATCTTCAATATTTTTAAATTTTTTTTTCTCAATAAATTCTGCTTAATAAGGAATGATGACAAAAGAGGAAATTTAAATTAGAATTTTCACGTTACTTTGATAGATTTCTACGTTCAACTGTCGCCGATATTTTATTATTATTTTAACGATGGAATTGGTCTTACATCACGTATCAATTACGTAAAAAAAAACCAAAGCAAAACAAAAAAAAAAAAAAACCACGCACACACACAAGACCCTTACAAAAAGTACATTGAAATAACTCTCCTTGTTGGTGATCCTTAATCGAGAGATATGATGTCAGTTATTGCCCTATGGTAAAATTTATATTTTTTTATTAAGTATGTTTTCAATTTATTTTGAAACACGATACGTGAGGCAAGCAAAATGGCTGATGCCACTAAAATACCTACTGTCGGTTTCCAAAACACATTTAAATCCATCTGTAAAAGAAGAAGGTATCCAAATTAAAAGCCTCGTAGGAAATGTATAACAAAACATCAATTGCAAAACTGTTTTTAATCAAAACTTGATAAGGAAACCAATATTCTCCTTCACTCTACGTGACCTAAGATATTGCTCTGAGCGTAATTTTTTCCAGTTTTGAACAGATTAATAATATCTTAGGATGAAACTGGAGCGATTTATAATTATATCTGAAGGATGTGGCTCTCGAACAAAAGTACTGTTAGAAAGTAAAACAGTTTGACCACTGAAAACAAAAGATTATCAGCGATCTTAAACGCGGAAACATGTAGGCATCATATCGTTTAAAGAATCTGCTAATTTTTTCATAATATAGCCGCTGATCAGGCGAGATGAGGAAACACGAAGTGAAAAAATAGCCATAAATCAAAGAAAATACGATATAAAACAAAAAGAATCAATGGACTTGGTCTCAAAACAAGTTTAATTTTATGATACAAGAATAATCGACTAACTTTGCTCTGACGAAGAGCTAACGCACGAAACGTCAGCTTTAGAACTGTGAGTCTCCACGGTGGCCAATTGACATTATAAAAACTCGCAAATTATCTTGGACTACCTCTTACCGACGCAGCACCACAGTTTCTTTATTACATTGCAAACAGGTAATGAGAATTAACGTGGATCTGAGGATATCATCCTAATATAAAAACAAATTCTTTTATTTTTGTGGCAAAGTTTTTAAAAGGGAGGAGCACAAAATACATCTTGGTGTTCAAGGGTGGATGGGATGGAATTAGGAGCAGTACAGAAGAAACACATATTGTTCAGAGAGGAACATGCAGCTGCCACAGGCCTACCACGTTACGAGAAAATAACTTATTTTACCTCAAGAACTGAAGTTTCAACTCAGCACCTCTTTTCAATCACTCAGTCACTAGCAAAATTAATCCTAGCCGGCTCAATTCAACTATCAAGAGCTCCTATTTAGTTAGTGATCATATCTTTTATTCTCGTAATCTTAATGCTTGATTCAGGGGCGATATTGTAAGGAGAAATTTGATGCTGGTCACTCTTACGGGTCAAAGGGTTAACAGGCATTCGATTCCCTCCATCTAGTTTGTGTTAGGGCGAGTATACCGTAAAATCCCTAAGATGGACATATACGTACTTTGTAAGGAGTCGGTTGGAGAGGGTGATTGGGTGGGGTTGGGAAGTCTTGTACCCAGACCTTCCACAGCCAAGCAGTTACAGTCAAACGGTAGGATCTGGGTTCGAGGTTACTGTAAGGGTAAGGAAACCTTGGGCGGGATCCAGCTGGGGGAAAAATGACGAAAGTATCAGATTCTCAGTTATGGCTCAAACATTTATTGAAAGCTTTTTTCTCTTCACATTATTTGCAGAGACAATTTAGATCATTTTTCTGTTTCCTTCTTACTGCTCCGAGGGAGTAGTTTTATCAAGTCGACAATTCAAAGAAAGACAGTTGTGCGCAAGGCAAAAAGCGGCTACATAGTTCATTGTCCAGTTCCCCCTCGACCCATTATTTTGAAAACGTATCTTTACATGTGCGCGGTAACTTCCTTCGCCGATGCACCTTCACGACGGTGGCGAGTGCGCACAACGAGGGAAAGGAATTTGATCAAAATTTTAAACGAAAGTGGGCGTAGCCAGTGACGCACAAATTCGGGCCCACTCCCCAGATCGGTGGTTGTTGTTGTAGCTGCCGCCACGTCCCATGATGAATCTAACCTCTGACCTCCATAATGGCCTTGCTCGTCATAGGAGGCACAGTTCTAGAGCATCAAGGCGCGGAATCCGAAGATCTTAGGTTCGATTTCTCATAGGGAGTTAGAATGTTTTCTTTGTCCCAAGCTTGTGACAAGTCGAAAAAAATATTTCTCTATTTCTTAGCCGAGCTAAAAATTTACCATCCTTCTTATTCAATTTGCATTGAAAATGATTATTTCAAAAAAGGGGAATGAGAGATGATGATCATGGCGCTCCAGAACACTCCTAGTTTTGTCCCTGTTGATAACTTAAGACATTTATCCACAGCTATCTTGTTCCATCTCACCAATGCTAAGACAGCAGCAGCCATTGTAATCTAGCCATGCAGTTTCATGAGTGACATCTTAACATTGTAAACAACGTCAGAAACGGGGTTAAAGAAGTACTTGCCTGTAACAATCTATATTGGGCTTAACGCTTCCTAAAAGTTTCAAACAAGTCCAAGAGTTTTACCAAGCAACATCTCAGTACAGCTGTAAATCTCCTTTCCTGGAAACTTATATGGCAATCAATTTGAACCCCCCCTCCCTCCCTCCCCCCCACAGCCCCCGCCACCACCACCCCAGACTTTGCCTTTAAACTTGACCATATCAAAAGATTAAACGTGTGTTTTCTCCTGGAAAGATTTGTGACACTTCTAGTTCAAATTTTCAACCCCACTCACACAAGGTTCAAATTACCCACTCCCTAGGAAGGCCATTTGTCAAAATTCTAAAGTCCAAGGTATGAAGCGCAACCCCCACAGGTTGCTGGGGGGGATGTTTTGGTGCATTGGAAGGACATGGACACATCCTGATTTATCCCCAGCTGTATGGGTTACCTGGCTGTGTACCTTGTTCAGGTTCCATGATTTAAGGGTGCCTTAACTTTGGGTTCCCTATCTTTAGGACCTTTCCTGTTGATCTCTTGTAATTAAGGACCTAGCATGGGTTCCCTGATTTGAAGTAAAATGCTTGTGTTACCGCCTGCAAATCTTTTTTGAGTATGAAATTTTATTTAATATATCAATGTTGACAAAAGTACAATTAGGATATGGTGGTTTATCTAAATTATAATATAAACACGAAATTTCAACTTGGTGAAAATCAGAATACAAACTTACTTTTCAGAACAAGTCATCGTTCATTTAGTGGACTAAAGGAAACAAGCAAACATACAGTTGAAAAAAAAAACTATGAGAAGTTTTTGTGCAGTTCTATGATGTATGATATAACTATTGATGATATGTTAAAGATGGCTGAGGGATAACAATACACTTTGAGATGAAAGTGAGTCACTGTGATTCAACTTGTTGGCCTTCGTCTTCTCCCGTGGCTGCTGCACTTAAGCGCTTTTCTTTCTGCCTTCTGTTGCAGAACCACACTCGCACAACTTCCTTATCGATTCCAAGGTTTTCTGCGAGCCCTTCGACTTCTTGTGAAGATGGTTTGGGATTGGAAGAAAAGTGTTTTTCCAGCACACTTTTGACAGTGACATCAATGGATGTTCTCTTCTTTCGCTTTCTTCCCTGAGTTTCCAGAGGATTGCAATTGCTTCCAGAACTTCTGTCATTATCAGCCTCTTCCAACCACCTCATCAGCAACGGCTTGAGTTTACACATGTTCTTAAAACTCAATTGCAGAGCCTCAAAGCGACAGATGTGAGTCTGGCTAAACATGCTGCCATACATTTTCCCCAAAGCAAGGCCAACATCAGCTTGAGTGAAATGCAGCTTGATTCGTCGCTGTTTAAATTCCCTTGCAAACTCTTCTAAATCAACTGATGTTGGAGCATCTTCATCTTGCAAACTAAACTCTGTGTTATCCACTGATCTTTCTGAAATAAGAGTTGAAAGTTGCAATAAATTTACTGTCTCATAGATCTAACACTCCAATCTTTGGGCTCAGAGAACAAAAACTTAGTTTCTAACATTTTATATCATATTGCCTTAATAACTACAAACTTGGCTTTTAATGACAATGTGTAGGCTACACAAAAGATACAAAATGACGTATCTCTTTAAAGCACATGGTCCCCAGTATGCAATGAAGGATTACATAAATAGTACTGTTGTGATATAATGAACAACTAGAACTACACTTCTGTTACAGAGTCAAGGTTTTGTTACCTATGGAGTGCTTCAAGGGTTAGATTTGGGATCTGGAGGGCTCTTCAAGGTTACTTAGTGCTCACTCTTTCATTGACACATTATTTTGGAAATGGCTGCCTTTCTTCGATTCCTCTAATTTATCAAAAATAACAAACTTCCGGCCATCTGATGTTTTGTAAATCTTAGTTAAACCTCAATTAGCGTTTTGGCTGTCTGCCAGTCACTTCGCCAAGGTGGTAATTGTAATGAAATTTTTTTTATGTGTGCATGGAAAGATTAATAAGTTTAAATAATGCTACTATTTCCTTAATGTTAATGTTTTGCCATCAAGCGATGTCGAGTGTAAGTGTTGATTGACTGAAGCAGTAGATAATAGATCTGGAAACATTCTGTGAGCTCTTTAACCCATCGCAGCTATATTCATAATATTTCAGCCACCCCATACCACACTGACTATTTTTAAAACTAATCGAACGATTTCTGTGTTCCTATTGAGGCAACAGACAACCGACATTTCATTGAAGAAACTAGAATTACAACGCAGAAACGAAAGCCCTCTTAAAGTAACATGTTTCAAGGGTTTTAAAGGCAAAAAGCGTGGTCTACGATTTGCGTGATTCTATAAAAAATAAGTTTTACTTCGGAAAATCGTTTGTCGTCTGCTTTGAATTTACAGACAAATATTTCAAGCATCGCATGGTGCGGAAATCAATGACATTCGATTCCCTTAAGAAAAAGATAAACAATGTAATTGGCGCCATTTTCGATCCGTTCTCAAAATGGCGGACTGCGAAACGAAAAGACTGCTTATCGAGTTGTGTATTTAATGAAGTTGACTATACCTTGCCAAAATCTAAATATCAAATTCGTTTGCTAAAGAGAAACCTAATTACCATTGTAATTGCTGTTTCCTTCCTTCAATTCTGCTTGGATTTCATGAAGATTTCCTCTAAGATTTTGAACTTCCATTTGGTTAAGACCTATCTCCGCTAGCTTGTCGTCTCCTAAGTCAAGAAAATCCTTCACTCTCACGACTCCACAGCGGATAAAAGCTTCTCTATGTTTTTTTAAGTTAGTTCGGTCCAAAAGATACTCTACGTCTTTCTCCAAAGTGTCATTTGCATCGGTGGCGACGCTTGCGTTCTCTGATTCCACCATGCTGTCCGATTGTCAACGGCGAGGAACAGAGTGAGTGTTACGTGACACATTAGATAAGATAAGAACATCGGGATAGCTAAACTCAGATTACAGTAACGAAGATTCCTCTGCTACTGCCGCACTGCTCTCGAACTAAAAATTGCAAAATTTTCTTCTGATAAGGTCATTGCTTTTTTTCCGAACAATATTTAATCTTTTTTTTTCCTGAGTGGCAATTACCGAGATGTCAGACAAAAAAAAGTTAGCGTAATGACTGTCTGTGGCAGTCTTTTTTTTGCACGTGGTCTGATTCGAAACCATTCTTGGTTGTCACCAGTTGGTATCACCAGGGTGTCGACGGTACGTTTGAGCTTCCTGAGCAGAAATGACTTTTGACTGTGCTAACTAGTAGTTATTTTACTCCAACAAAAATAATATTTTCGTCCCTTTCGTTTACTTATATGTTGAAATTCCGTCCTAAGCTGTCTCTCTTTCGTTTATGTATGGAACTGAAATTAAAAAGATACCTTGATCTTGATTAAATATACTTATCATCAAAAGGAAGAACGGTCATCCAGTTTAAAATTTCTCGCACATAACATTCTTGATTTTCCGTACAGATATATTTGAGATCCTCTTCTATTCACACGGTGACATTCTGTAGTGTTATTAAAATATTTATTTATTTATTTATTTAAACATATTAAATCATGTTTAAAGTGAAAGCTAAATAGAGTAGGTGTAAAAACGAACAAAGAAGGGAAACAATATTTGAAATACGCTGGTACTTCTGTTAAAACTTAGTAACAGACAAAAATGCACCACAGATGTGCAATTTAAACACCAGCAATTATGCTAAAGATGTCATATCATCAAGATCATGCGGTGCTTCCTCCTCAAATTGTTCACCACTACATGGTTTTCCGTGTTCTTTGGTTTCTTTCAAAGTTAACCTTTTTTCTTTCTGTCGTCTGTTGCAGAACCACACTCGAATAACCTCTTTATCGATGCCGAGATTTGTGGCCAGAATGCCTATTTCACTAGCAGATGGTTTTGGGTTTGTGCAAAACTCGTTCTCCAAGACACTTTTAACGGAAACCTCAATCGCTGTTCTCTTCTTTCGTTTTCGCTTAGCTTCCAACTTCTCGCTCTCGCTTCCAAAAGGCCTGTCAGTATCTGCTTCTTCGAGCCACCTCATCAACAGAGGCTTAAGCTTACACATGTTTTTAAAACTCAGCTGTAAGGCCTCGAAACGGCAGATTGTAGTCTGGCTAAACACGTTTCCGTAAAGATATCCAAGCGCTAAGCCCACCTCAGTCTGCGAGAAACGAAGTTTGATTCTTCGTTGTTTAAATTCCTTAGCGAACTGTTCAAGGTCTCCCGATGTTGGAGTGCCGTCTTGGGTGAACATTATTACAGCCACTTCCACACACCTTAGTTACAATCAATGTAATCCCAATTATGAAAGGAATAAATCAATTATCGAATAGTTTGTTCTATGCTTAAGCGAATCGCAAAAGTATCTGTCAGCGTTATCTCCCATAATAAATTATGCGCAAGATGCATACTATGGTTTCCATGGTAATTTGCGCGTAATAAAATATGGCGATTGAAGCCTGAAGTTCGTTTTCTTCTTTGATTACAGCGAAGATCTCCACATATGTAAAGAAAAGTTCCAACCATGTCACACAGGTAGAGTCCTTAGATAATTTTGTGTAAAGTTTGGGCCACATTCAGGAGTTATCTGTGGATTTTGTATCACAAACAAACTTGTAAGGTCGCAAATTGCAAAAAACGTTTGTTACGAGTTTTACAGGAGTTGTTTATAGCTAGATCCATGCAGAAGTTCTCAAAACAAAGTTTACGATCCATCAAAAATACGAAATAGGTCATAGTAAAGTGGATGAAAGCTGTCTGTATTGTTTTTTACTTTTTTGTGAAGAGTTACTCTCGCAAATTGGCGGACAACTTCTTGATCTGAGAGTTGCAACTTGGGGAGAACACCAGAGTGTTTTTAATTAAGTGATTCCACAGAAAACCTCATTTATTTTCAATTTTTCTGGTCAGAATATTCATGTATGCACTAAGGTCAATTAAAATTAAAATTGCGTTTGATTCTTGTGCTCATTTTATTGATTTAGATGAAGCAATTAAATGATTGTCTCTATCTTTTTTGTTCTTGTTCAGTTATTATGGAAAACAGTGGGTTGAATCCCAGGGAGGGATTCTTGATCTGCTGGAGGTTGAACTTCCATCAGAACCGGCCAAACCAGAAAAGGTACCAAGATTTTCATATTTATCAGATATATTTTTACTGTATCACAAGTCAAACTATTTTTTCGAGGTCAATTGTAGGTGTTGTGTACTTTAGTAAGTAATATTTTCAATAGTCTTATGCAAACCACAAGGGTGACGACAACAAAAACATGGTAAAAAAAATGTTTAGAGAGCACATAAACACTGGGGTTGTAAAATGTTGTACATTTCTTATGGTGCATTGCAAAGCAAAACACAAGAAACTAGTATGGTTTACTCCTCATGCTCTGAATGTCATCATTAATTTTTTCTTTTGGAATTCATTCAACAGGACCGTATTGCAGCATTTCAGATGTTTGCTGTGATGTATATCAAATATATTCAAATATTCAGAAGGATTGAAGAATGCTATGATCAGGTGATTTGCACTCACAAATGTATGCACACTATGCTGACCTACAATTGTGAAATTTATATTTGATTGACACTTTTTTAAATGAGGGAGAGAGAAGGGAGGGAAGGGGGGAAGGGAACTCTTCCTCAGCTTCAAGATATCAATGTGGTATAGATTTATAACGTGCTTTTGTATATTTTCTCCTATCAGGTGGTTCATCCCCAAAAGAGACGGGTGTTGCGTCATTTGCTTGATGGTATCATGGGAAGGTAATAGAAAGAGTTATTCAGTCTTGCAGTACCTTACTAGACATTCACCATCTGGAGATGTCAGGTTTAGTGTTATTTTATACCAGTATCATTGGTATATTTGTTTGTTGAAAAAGATCTTGGAAATATTTGTAGACTAACTTGTTTGAGGACAAAACAAAAAAAGGCGAACCACAGCACTTTATATGCATTGAATTGTCTGACAGTTATTTTTCTTTTTATTACAAGCAAAAAGTGGTAACTGCACTTTGTGCAAATTCAGAATGATTGGAATACTCAGTTCCCAGCCCCAGACTTTCAATAATAATACTAATAATGATTTTCATTCAAACGTTTATTTTACTGTAGGATTCTTGAGTTAAAGAATGAAATGGTGCAGCTTGAATTCTCAGAGTATCACTACTTTGATGATGTGCTGTCAGATCTGAAACTTACACCTGTAAGTATTGGCTGCAGCTGATCATTACTGACAGTATCACAGTCTTAAAATGATTTAAGTTGTAAACCAGAACAAAGTATATCTTGGAATTTTAATGGTAAAGCTAAATTTTACATTGAGCCAATGGCCATGCAGGCCTGACAAGCACTCAACCATTTTTGTGATCATAATGATAAATTGAAAATACTGTTGATATAAAAGTTAGTTTTGCACTCCCTGAGGTGAAGACTGTACTCAAGCCAAGTAGCCCATCCAGCCAATATGACAGTTTCCATGACATGAGGCAGCTAGGAGTATTACCACCCCCACCCCTAGATGGGATGCTAATTCATTATAAGGTCCCCCTCCCCCTAATATTTCATCAAGCTTCCCTGACAATTTTCTGGTACCCATTTATAATCCGAGGCAGTTGTTTGAAGGCCCAATAGCACTAACCCAAGGTTAATTTAAATCCAATTTTCTTTATTTCTCTGTTCAAGAGCCTTTTTTAGATAATTTTTTACATTCTTTTCAGAGCATCCGATAATCAAATTGTCAACAAAAAGAATCAAACTGAATTTCCTTTTAAAGCTTTCAGATCTGAAATTTCACACAAACCCTGGGTTATCTTAACCCAGCATTGAATAACCAGGTCCTGAGTGGAGAAAACAGAGAGAGAGTAAATTGTTTTGCATGAGAACACAACACATTGATGCAACTTGGTCTTGGACCCAGACCTCTATAGACCCAGATTTCAGTGCATCATCCATCAAGCCATTGCATTTTCTATTTGCAGTCCTTAAGACTCCCCATTATTAAAATTCCCACAATTTTTCCTTCTTTACTTTCAAGGATGATATAGAAATCCCCATTCCAAAATACTTCACATATGAAAATTCCAAAGTTCTGCAAGAAAGAGAAAAAATGCTGGGCAGCATCTTGGCAAAAATGGGTCCACAAGAAACAACACCAGTAAGTTCAGTCAGTTTATTTTTAATGTTTTTTCCTTTGTATGTTTTGAAATTTTCTTCAATAAATAGTAGAAAGTTTAACTCAAAATACCAGTAATCAATTGATAATTACATGCAAGTAAGTTAATGCAAGTAATTGAACCCATTAACACTCAACGTCTGATTTTTAATTCTCTCCCCCAGCTGCTACACATTACCTTGTAAATTAGTTATGAGAATTTGGTGTTAGATCAGTATTACTAACAACTTCTACTTGATCATTTTGAGTATTCTCATTACCTGTTTGGGGATAATGTACAGATATTATAGGGAGAAGTAACTTGTTGATCACTTCTGGGAGTGAAAGGGTTACAGGCACAATTTCAAACAAAATAAATTGTGTTCTATGAAATCATATATTCATTAATAGTGATATTTAAAATTCTCCCTAAATTGTGTTTTATCCTTTTTTTTCCACAGCAAAAGGAAGAAATACAGATGACTCTTGATGATGCCATCAGGCTTATTCAGGTTTGTTATTAAACAGTTCTTTTGTTGTGTTAACTTTGTCTTTGCTTATAAAAATTTTTGACTGAAATATAACAAATGCACCAATCATAGAAGACCACCATGATACATAATGCTGTGCTGGAACCAGTCGACCCCATCGCCTGAAGAAGACTTGCAGTAAGCAGTCCAAACATTGCGATCTACATCTAGTGACTTTGTCGTGAGACAACAGATCAAATTTATATTATCAACATAAAAACACTCGTGTTGCTTTTATTTTACAAGAATAAGCAAACAATGAACCTTAAAAACTTCTTCCAGGTGCATGAGAGGGCTCGGCAAGGAAGACTGAGAGCAAAGTTCATGAGAGAAATCAGGTTAGACACAGTTTTTATTGGAAGTTCTGACCATTTCCTCATTCAGTGAAACATTCTCAAACAACCTTTTTAAATATTGTTATATTTTTGTTTCCTTAAAACAGAGCAAAATTAAATAAAACAAAAATTTGAGAAATAATCAGTGTACTATTAGTCTATACAATCATGTATCTGCACTGTGTAACATTGGTCACCACCAAATCCTCTTCTGTAAGATTGCTTTCCACTGGCCAAGGTTCAATTCCCAATCCTAGCATCACACTGCAAGCAGGTTGATAAAGTTTGTTGTTGTTTCTTGTCCTTACTCCCAAGGGTTTTTCACTGACTTCTGCTGTTCTTAACCTTCCTCAAAAATCAACACTCCAAATTTTGATTTGACCTGGAAACACAAGATGAGAAAAGCCACCTCTCAGATGTCAACTCATCTGATTAATAAAATTTAATTGCTGAGTTACATTCTGATTTAGACAACAAGAAGAGAGGGAACGTCAGGCACAACTGCGAGGAGCACCAACTATGGATCCTGACATTGCAGCTACAAAAATTCAAAAGGTTATTAACTGAAGAGTTGAAGTTAATTGCATTTAATTTAATGTAGTTTTATGCTTTTACTCCCAAGATGTAGGTGTTAATTCTCCCCTATGGCTGCTACACATTTCCCTGTAAATTAGTGACAAGAGTTTGGTGTTCAATCAGGATGACAAATTCTGCCTGATAGATTTGAATATTCTCATCACCTGTTTTGCTGGAAAACGTAGGGAAATTATAGGGAGAAGTTACATGTTAATCACTTTTGGGAGTTAAAGGGTCAACACAATTTAGTGAGAAGTTATCGTTTGCTGTAAACTAGTGATTATTCCTGACAGAAAGTTCAGCTGCTTGAATTTTCTCTTATACATCCTAACATCAGTGGGTTGGTTATTTACACGAGGTCTAACCTAAACCACGGTTTTATGCAAGCAGTGGGCCACAGGGTATCTCTATAATAGGGTTGATTTGAGAAATAAATGTCCATCTACTGTTAGCCTCCAGCCCTATAGACACTGTTCACCAAAATAAATGTTCAGATAAGGTTCAGCTGAATTGCAGATAGTTTAGAACACGGTTTTGTTAAACAACAGCCAAGCTTTCTTTAAATAATCAGCCCAGTGTGTTTATTCTCTTTTCTGTTCTCCATATACCTTTCCCAGGGTGTTGATAATAAGAATTTGTTCAACAATTAAGAGTTTCTTTAGTTGATGATCATTTCCTTTATTCTCATAACCTTAATGTTTGATCCAAGGTTGATACTGTTAGGAGAAATGAGATGTTATTCACT